CTGAACTATTTAGTTGATGTATGCTGGAATATGGCCACTCTACTAGTAAGGTAGTTGAATTCTTATTTGTCAAGTTATTGTAACTTCTTAAAACTTTTGCAAGTTGAAGTTAGTTTGTGTGATTTATGCACCTTTTGCACTAGATTCCACCTCCCCTATGTTAAACTAACTTTTTTTTTTTGTTCTGTAAATGTTTTTCAAATTTGCATGTTTGATATTTAAATGGGATGCTGCTTCATTTAGTTATCATGTTCTGAAGAAAGTCTTAATTAGTTTTAAGAAATTTTTTGAGTAACCAATTTCCACATGTAAGATCCGGTTGTGTGTTTCCCCCTGGTTGTTGATGAGCTGATATTGTCACTTGTTGGGTCGGTTTTTATGTCATAGGACTAGTAATATTTAAGCTTCAGAATAATTTTGAATAGACTGGTAAGTCCGTTACATTCCATGAAGATGCAGGTACCTGGACTGCTATTCATGGTCACCAGATGAATTTGGCACGATATATGTGTCTTATTGCATATGTATGGTATGCAACTGCAGATCTTGGGTTTAATAGCATCTCCACAGTTAAGGTGTGCTGTGATATCTTTGAACTGTCTGCTAACCTGTAATTAGTGGAATGGAGCACTATGACAAGATTATGTTTGTGACATTTTTCCTATGATCTCTTCCTCATCTTTATATTTTCTGTTCTTTTTTTCTTTTTTCTTTTTTTTTTTTGTTTTTTCCTCTGAACTTTCCCCCCCTTTTTCTCTTTCTCTCCCTTCTTTTTTCTTCATTCCAACTTTCTGAGATTGTTTGGTTAGGTGAGGTTCTCTAAAGGCGACCCTGATTCAGTTGCGTGGTTTGTTGGTTGGTTAGTTTCTTGGTCTTTTCTCACAGGTAAATCTCTGTTTAAACAAAGCCTTCGGCTCAGCTGTGAAATATTTGGGAGATCAAGCGAACTGATGCTTCTGAATATTTTCGTGATGGTTCTCTTTGTTTCTTTTCTCTTTGTTCTCTCTTCATTTTAGCTTGACTAGTCACCCTTGCTTGATGGTGACAAATTTATGGATTCCTTCTGGTTACTTTCATTCTTGATGTACATGAACAAATCTTGAAACTAGCATGGAGAATCAAATAACATTGCTGCATGGTAACCCTTTTTTGGTTAGTCATGCAAAGTTGGAAAATCTATAGTGAGATCTGATAAGAACATATAATAGTTTGGATCAGGTCAGTATTTTGTTATGAGGCTTCCTTTTGGGCCATTTAAGTGTTGAATATCTCAATGATTCCCCCATAACAATTGCCTTCGATTAATTTTGAAGGCTCTTTAAGACATAATACTCTGTGGCGACAGGTCCTGCAAATTATTGAGTTCAAAAGTAGTTCTGGCTTATGCCAAGTCTTCATCTTTATGATGGAAAATATTCATAAGTATTGGGTATATGAGGTCTGGATTTGTTTTTGGTGAAGCATATTTTGTGACAAAGCTTTAGACTAGAAATTGTTCACAATTTGAATAAGAAACAAGGATGAATATGTCAGAAACTTTAGTCCAACTCTCTGCTGTACATTTTTACTATCCAAGTAGGCCTAAGTTGGAAAATTAAGGTATATGTATTTAGACCAAAATTGTTGTGCGGCCTTTTAAACTTTGTCTTCACATGACAAGCATCGAAACCTATTTGATGTCTTCCCGCCTTAGTTTAGTGAATAAAAATGTAGCCAACTAAAGAGGGTAGGTGTTTTTGTGAAGCACATCTACTGTATCTTTAAACAGAGTCTCCATGTGATACATGTGGAAGGCCCAAAGCTTGTTATAATTGGTAATTATTATTTTGTAGACTTTTGAGTAGTGTGCTAAAAATCCAGTTGGGCGCTAGGTGCCAGCGACACACAAGACCCCGATTTTTATCTAGGTGACCCTTTTATGTGCTGGATAAATTAGGCGTCTCCTAGGTAGGCTAGGCGGCTCAGGCAGTTGCGAATTTAGTCATCCTTAGATTGATTAGGCGGTTCAGAAGGGCCTTGGGCGCACATATAATTTTTTTTTTTACATTTTTTAATATATTTTCATAAAATAATAAAAAGATAAATGTACAATAATTATAAAATTAAAACACAATAATCTTGTAAAATTATATTATAACTTAATGTATATAATTTTTTGAAAATCTTTGTATTTAACTTTACTAATTAGTATATTTTATATAAAATAATAAGCTATGCATGATTATAAATATAAATAAATTTATTAATATTGCAACCCCACCTAAAGTGCCTAAAGCAAGTTCTAGATTTTCTAGATTTTAGAACTGCTTTTGAGGTTCATGAATTAAAAGATTTACATGAAGTGTGTACTAATAAAACCTGGTTGGAAGTGGAGAAAACAAATTCATGTCGATTATGATAACCTATTACTCAAAAATTTTGCACTCATGATCAGATTGTCATGGTATTGATTGAGCACATTATTGCGTATCTTTTAGTTATGTCGATGTGCTATATTTTTTTTTGTAACTAAAACTTCTGTTTTTATCACAATACTAAAAATCGGCTTAGGTGGACGGACGATTTGCATAAATCGCCTACGTGAACTTAGGTGCTCCTAGGCGGGCTTGGCGTGCTCGGCAGCCAAGCGGCTGGACAACGCCTAGGTGGGTTCGGTGGCAATTTTTAGTTTTTATTTTTTTTAAAATACTCTTACATTATTTTGTTATCATTTGTTGTTATATATTAATATTATTATTTTAATTGAGGTGTGTTTATTTATTATAAATTGAGATAATTTTATTTTGTAGGTAGTGAAAATAAACAAAAAAAATAAGATAATTAATCTTGATATCTAGGTGCCGTCTAGGCCTCGCCTAGGCGCTAGGCGTTGGTTGAGCGCCTAGCGGGCGCACAACGACTTCTTAAACACTGGTTGATGCGATAAAACTTATATTTCCATTCTATGTTGTCCCATACACGGTCTAATTGAAAGATGCACATGTGGATGAGGAGTGACAAGTGTGCGTTAGCCATGCCAAGCTGTAGTGACGATGAAACTTCTTTAATATCTTCTTTTTTCCTCTTTTATTTTTGTTACTATAGTGAGACTTCATGTCCTTTAAGTGTGTTTGTTTATAAACTCTTTGATGTAGGGAAGCGTACGAGTGAGAAAGATAAACGAGATACTCTCTCGATAAAACTCACAGTCAATTTATATTTTCATTCAAAATCAACTCCAACTAATAAAACAATAGATGAGGAGTCCTTTAAATAAGACTTATAAACTCTATTTCTAACGTGTTCAATATGTTAAGATCTCTTTCTAAATATTAAGTAGTATTAAATTCCTAACTTATTCTCCAAGATACCTACTAATAAATAATAATAATAATAATAATAATAATAATAATAATGTACACCATTCTCCTTCGGTTCGGAAGGCTTCGCCCTCGAAACCGATGTGCTCCCATGATCGGCGTGTGGTGTCGAACCCATGGTAGGAAACCCTTGTCGTTTCCCCCGGTCGAACATGAAGGTTGAATGTCACCCAAGCAGTTCAACACTCTCTTGATAGTCATCCCAAAACCAACACCTTCCCTCATGACACTTGAAAGTCCTAAACACTTTGCAACACCTTCCCCACTAACATACTTCATAACCACCAGAATCCCAAACTCCCACACTGTATTAATATCCCACTGCACAATCTTCTTATCACTCGTTCCTGCTAACAATACATTTTGTTTATCTGGATTAAGCCTCACTACATAAGGGATCTTTCCAGTCGAGAAAGTTGATATTATTTGCCCCATCTCTGTATCCCAATATATAATACTCATCGACTCTCATGTCCCGCAAAGATTCTTCTCCGTCACCGAATTCTCTTCATCAAAGATCGGCGGACCGTCGTACAATGGCCCGTCAACTTGCTCACTGTCGAATTCGGGGATGTCAATGCGAAATGGGCCTTCCCATTGACCATATTTTGGCTCAAGTATCCAATCATGTCGGGCACGATATCCGCCGGCGAAGGCAGCCTCCTCTTGCCTACCTCTGTCATCGCGTTGATCGTCGCCGTCCATGAAGACCGGGCCCCGTCGCCGCATGTCACGGCCGCCGTGTGCAGCAAAGGGGTCAGCCTCGACGTGCGGTGGTGGAAAATCGTCGAAGGGATTCACCTCCGAGACTGTCTCCTCGGCGTCTTCGTCGACGGACGGTGGTGGTGGAGATCCCCGGCAGGGCGTCCCGCTTGGACCACAACCTCCACGTCCTCCGTGAATTCCCCCGGACACGCCACGGTTGTCACCGTCATGGTACGTTTTCTTGTCCCGAACCATGGTACGGATAGTTAGACGTATGTCCCCGATCTCCACGGACATATATGCAATATGACGACTCATCGTCTCAACCTCGCGGCCAAACCACTCGGTCCGGCGGCTCAGGTTGTAGATGGCGGCGACACACCTGTCGTTTGCAGCATCTTGTTTTCGCTATAGCATCGTGAATCGTGCTGACTTCTGATACCAACTGATGTAGGAAGCGTACGAGTAGGAAAGATAAACGAGATACTATATCGATAAAACTCACAATCAATTCATATCAACTAATAAAACAATAGATGTGGAGCCCTTTAAATAAGACTCCTAAACCTTATTTCTAACTTGTACAACAAGACAAGATCTCTAACTAAATATTAAATAATATTAAATTCCTAATTTATTTCCCAAGATACCTACTAATAAATAATAATAATAATACTGATCTACACTAGGGCTGGTATCGGTTCGGTAACTGAACCGATAACATTAAACCGATACCCAACCGAACGTGTTCGGTTTTACTAATATTCAAACCGAAACTGAACCGGTAAGATTTCGGTAACCGACAATCGGGTACCGATAAAACGATTCGGTGTCGGTTTAAACCGAAAAAAAAAAAGAAAAAATATTACAGAGGACAAAATGAAGCAGCAACAAAAGCTTAAGATGTTCACCACTGAGAAACAAGTCACCTGCAGTTTGGTTAAAAAAATAAATAAATAAAATAAAATAAACTGAGGCTAAGATTAAGTGATTAACTACAAGTTATTAAGTATTAACTATTAAATTTTCCTTTTTCTTTTTAAATTTCCTTATCGGTTCGGTTCGGTAAAATCAATCCTTTATGGTTTCGGAACCGATACCGAACCTATAACATGTCGGTAACCGATAGTCGGTTACCGTTTTAAATGAGTTTGTACGGTTCGGTTTTTTTTCTCGTCGGTTCGGTTCGGTTCGATTCGGTTTTCGGTCAAAAAAATTTCAGCCCTAATCTACACCACTATTTCAACTCATACTCAAAATCTAGCTCAACTTTAACTCAACCTTCCTATTCTCAATATTATCAATATAATTTAATAATATCAACTAATCATTCTTATATATCACATCGATTTAAATTAATCATTCATCCACTCACATAATTTTAATTAACCATTACTTTACATTATCTCTCTTATATTTTACATTAAATTAATTTTAATTTTTTATTTTAAATATTATTTTAATATAAACTCAAAATTTTATTAATAAGCTATACGCCACCCTACATGATAACGGGTCACTAAAAACAAAAGTTTAATATAGCATCCAAAACACAAGAATATATGCAAAAGATTGATAGTAAGGTGAAAAAAAATTTTAAGTCCTCGTCATGAAAAGAATTTCCAACACGTTCTTATATTTGACATCAAATTTTGCGTTCGAGTACGCGCACAACCGTTAGTCTCAAGTAAGTTTTTTCAGTACGACTGACCAACTTGAAAGAGCCCCACTCAAGCAACATTTTGAAATTTTGAAGAAAAGAATACCCTAAAAAAATGTGGAATTGGAAAATGTGTTCGAAGTGTGGTAAAATATTGATGTATGAACCTTTTTTTATAGCTTTTGAAAATATCAATAAGAGCTGAGATAGTTATGATATCTGAATAGGTAAGTTTATTTCAGCTGAAATTGTGTGATATGCAGATTTTTTATGCGGATGTGTTTTCTATAGAATAGGAAATCGAATAGTTAACAAATTCTTGAACTTTTTCATTTGCACACATAGATTATATCAATCAAATGACATTCTTATACACGGTGCTTTGAATTAGGTAATAGAAATTTGCAAGTTTTGAAAGACAATTCTTATACACGACGAAAAATATTTTTTGAAGCAAACATTAAAAAATTTTGTTGTTTAATCGTCTCTGACGCACGCACATTGTGTGTGTACGAACTGGCAAGCTGGGCAGTTTTGGGCAGCCAGCTCAGCTCATCCAGGCAGCATCTTGAAGCAGGTACCTCACCCCTATATATAGGGGTGAGCTTTACATTCTGAGCACGATTTTATCCATTTTTACTCTTGAGAATTGAGTAGAGTTTGAGACTGATTTAAGCATCGGAGGCTCTTCACCGGAAAACCCCTCCGGTGTGTGAGTTTTTTGTAGGTACTCGGCGTTCAATCGGCGTGGTGGTGGTTCAAGCTAGTCATTCCTAGCCGGGTGGAGTGTTCGACGTTACCAAGTGGCGTGTTTCCTAAAGTTGATTTACCGTGTAAATGTAATATTTTATCAATTTTTATGTTGCATGTTTCAATCAAATGTCATTCTTATACACAGCGCTTTGAATTAGGTAATAGAAAAAGACGATTCTTATACACGGCGGAAAAAGGTTTTTTGAAGCAAACATTAAAATATTTTGTTGTTTAATTATTCCATTGAGTTTATACCAACAGGAAATAAAAAGATATAGGCTGTGTTTGTTTAATAGCCTTTTGGCCTTAGAAGAGTTTTTTGCACTTTTTAGCTGTTTGACTTTTTACAATCAGCTGAAAAATATGTTTGATAAACAGCTTTTTCAATTAGCTTTTTTGGCCCAATCCGCTAAAATGGAAAACGCTGTTTTTCCTAGCGTTTTGATTCAGCGGTTTGTAGAAAAAGAATTAAAAGTCTTAATTGCCTTTTTATTATTATATTCATACCACATGGGACGTAAGTCAAAATCGTCTTGGATTAAAATAGTGCACTGCTCTTAACTTTTTATTCAAACCTATAGCAATAAAATATATATCACATTTTTTATATTTTAAAAATAGAAATAATATTTCATTTTTTAAAATTATAATTAATGTTAGATAAGAAAAATATTCACATATAAAAATGTAATTCCAACTAATTCTAGTATAATACTTAACAAATAATTTTACCAACCTTTTTTTCTAAAATTTTAAATATATATAATTTTAGTTTCTTAGATGTACATAGAAACTTTAAGAAATTGTTAATGTAATTTTTAGTTACTTAGATTTTCTTTTATATATTTTTTTTAATTGTTATGAGAGATATCGAAATTGGCTAATATTTATTTTTTTAAATAGTGATGACTTGTTATTAGTTTTGTTTATAGGACGTGAACTTACTTACTCAATCAAGAAATATTTTTGTTTTATTATTATTTATATTTTTATTATATTTTAAATCACTTTAATAAATATTTAAAATATTAATTATTTTTCTTTCCTATATAATTATAAGTTCAACATAAATGAGAACGATAAATTATGTTGATGTCCTTATAAGTAATTTTGCATGTTAACAGCTAATTAAAAATAGCTAATTTTACCAAACACTCTTTTACAAACCGCTAACACAATCATCTAGTCAAACCAGCTAACGCAATCCGCTGGTCAAACAGCAAATGCAATCAGCTAACAGCTATCAGCTAACCGCTGATTACCAAACAAGACCATATTTAAAGTGATATTTGGTATTTTGAAATTGCGTGTTCCATAAAGATTAGGTAACAATATATGGCCTTTTTTATTATCAATTTGTAATCTCATTATTATCAATTTGTAATCTCATTGTTTTGGCATATGATATTAGATGCTGAAATTGCATGTTCCCTATAAATTTTTTGAAGCAAACATTAAATTGCATGTTACTTAAACTTGATGTATTGTGTGAATGTAATATTTTATCAATTTTTATATTGCGTGTTTCAATCATATCACAGTCTTATACACGACGCTTTGGATTAGGTAAGAGAATTTCGCAAGTTTTAGAAGACAATTCTTATACACGGCGAAAAAGAAATTTTGAAGTAAACATTAAAATGTTTTGTTGTTTAATTAATTCAATTGAGTTTCCCCCAACAGGAAATAAAAAAGATATATTTAAAGTGATATTTGGTATCTTGAAATTGCGTGTTCCCTAAAGATTAGGTAACAATATATGACCCTTGTTATTATCAATTTGTAATCTCATTGTTTGGCATATGGTATTAGATGTTGAAATTGCACGTCCCTTAAAGATTTTTTGAAGCAAACTTTAAATTTCATGTTACTTAAAGTTGATTTACCGTGTATATGTAATATTTCATCAATTTTTATATTGCATGTTTCAATCAAATCACATTCTTATACACGGCGCTTTGGATTAGGTAATAGAATTTTGCAAGTTTTGAAAGACAATTTTTATACACAGTGAAAAAGATTTTTGAAGTAAACATTAAAATATTTTGTTATTTAATTAATTCAATTGAGTTTTCACCAATTGGAAATAAAAAGATATATTTAAAGTGATATATGGTATTTTTAAATTCCGTGTTCCCTAAAGATTAGGTAACAATATATGACCCTAGTTATTATCAATTTGTAATCTCATTGTACGGCATGTGATATTGTATGTTGAAATTGCATGTGCATGTTCTCTAAAGACTTTTTTGAAGCAAACATTAAATTGCATGTGTCCCTAAAGTTGATTTACTGTGTAAATGTAATATTTTATCAA